ATGCACAGAGGAAAAGATAAATAAAAACATTAGATTCTTATTTAACAATACTTGAATTACAGGTAAAGAATAATTCTATTCTGGTCAACATTTAGAAATAAAAGACCGATCAATCATCTACCCTGTAAAGAAATCATACAAAGATTCATATATAATTTAGCCACGCCTGAAAATATTCTATAAAGAAGCAGCATTTAACAACATGCAGAGAGCTAACACCACCAAACTCCCCAGTTTATGTTGCCCTCAAACATTAAAAACCGTACAATTAACCAGGTTGCACTGACAATTTTTAAGTTGCTGCCCTACACATTCATCAAGCATCTCAGAAACCAGACAGGAAAGTGGGAATCAAGATTTCTATGCATATGTCACCCTGAGATATTAAGAAAGATATTCTTACACCAAAATGCTGCATTGAGACTTTATGATTCCACATCGTTATCATCATCACCACCACTACCACAGCTGCCACCATGCTGGTGTAAATATTCCTTTTTGCCCACAAGATCCAAAACAGAACAGGTTACAGAATAGGAACACCCATGCCAACATACAACTGCAGACACCTCTGCCTTTGCCGCAGTGTTCATTATCATAGGCTCCACAATCACACATGCCATGGGCTTTGGAATAACCGTCCTGCTTCCACCCTCCTTTCCCATTTCTCATGCTGATACACAACGGTTCTTTAGTTTTCTTACAAAACACTACGATTCTTTCTTGCGCACTCAGATCTCTGTATTGGATGTGGCTTTACTCACTACTACAAGCCAATCGTGGTCTGCTCTTCAGAAAGAGGTTTTAAAAACACCTATTCAGTTACACTCACAGAGCTCACTTCTGTGCTTACCGTACCATTGGTTTCCTTTGCTGGCATTGTTTTTGCAAGACTAACAGGCTAGAAGTTATCAGATTCTATTTCTTTTTGGGGACTCCACATAAACTGCTTATTTATTTTCAATCACCAGCATATAGAAGTTCAGCACTAGCAATTCACACAGACAGGTAAACCTGAGCATTTTGTACAGGTTCACAGATAAAAATCCAGATGAGGTAACCAATCACCTAGTTTCATCCCTCTATTAGGGACTTTGTTCCTTCTTCATGTTTGAAACACTACTTCCTTTAGGGAAACACCCAATGTTGATCTTAAAATATTAGCCTACCACAATCTTTCATGAATCAAACACAGTATTAAAGATACAAACAGGAGTTTGTCTAGTTTCAGCTTCCAGCACTGGTTTGCCACTATTATAAAGGCAATATATAGCTCTTCAACGTACTCACTGCCCCTGCAGTCTCCTTGCCGAGGACTTTTTATTACGTTGAGTTTCCTGCATGTGCAGCACACACGTCTAGGTAAGTCCTTCTCTACTCACCGGGAAAATAGCACCCCACAACAGATTTTCATCCACTAAACCAGTTCATCTCAACTGAAGCCTACTCTGTCTGCTCCCAAGCTGCTCCCAGGAAATAAAATAGCTAGGGGACAGCAGTATAAACTATTCTAGCAATGGTAGTGCATTCCCACAGCCATGTTTTCCATCCAGGAAGACTAACTTGTAAAATGGCTGTGTCACATACATAAACCAAAGCCAACAGTTAAAAAAATGTCATAGATGGGCTCACATACAACAGCATGACAAACATGCAATGCGTTCAGGTGAACTACAGTGTGCCTGCGCAGCATTAACTAGTTGTAATTTGCAGTCTGACCATTACTACTCATGAAAACAAACTGTGTGGCCTGTTAAATACTGTGCTAAAGCAAAGAGCCTGCTGTTAAGATTATTCCTCTCCTATTATTCTATACAAAGTCAACATTTAATCTTCAATTAACCCAAGCTAAATTTGCTGCCTCTTTCCTTTAGAGAGAGAAACTATCTAATTTCCAAGTAATTTACCATGTCTACAGTCCAATAGATTATAGGAAAAACCCTCATACCTGTCAATATTGCTTATATACCAACCCCAGAAAGAGATAAAGCTGGATATTTTGGACAGCCATGATCCATCACAACTTCCTACCTTCTGTACCAAGGAATAATATTTAACAGGTAAAATCTTTCAAAATCAAAAATAAAAAGCATCTTTTCACGACAGCTAAAACGAGATGTTGAGCGATCTCATTAGAGTGATCTGTGGAATAATCTGAATCCCTTCCTCATGAACTGGAGCTTGCTACTGAAACATTATTTACCTTTCAAACCACAGCTTTATACTCCGCATAAATGTTTTGTGAGGGTATATTTGGTTCTCTCTCAAATATATGAGGATACCAAACAGCTCTTTTTGTAACTCAGCACCTTTCATACCCCTGCTGAAGTCAAAAAAGGCCTGCAGGACATCCAAGGTTGGGACCAAATCCTTAGACAACATTTCATGGTAAAGATCAACTGCGAGGTTCATTTCTCTGTGACGGCTGGCTGCTTTGATACAGGATTCATAGTTTGTCCGTGACGGAATCATAATATTTTTTACTTCTTCCAAAAGAGTCAAGGCCATTCTCCATTGATCTGAATTACTCAGCCCCTTGATAAGAAGGTTGTAAGCCCCACTTTCTAAAATCTTAAATTTGATTTTCATTATATCATACACATCACGGATTTCTGAAGTCTGCCCTTGCTGGACACACAACGCCAGATATTTGACCAACAAATTATATGCAATGTCGCCCTTACTCCTTGCCACATGGGTCAGCAAGGACTTTGCCACATCAATGGGGGTGTTGCACCTGATCATACTGCTAAACATCACTTCTTCAAACATTTCAGGTGATCGAAAGCTTTCCCTCAGCCTGTTCCATTCCTCAGCCTGCAAAGGTTTCTCCGGAGGTTGTACACTGGTAAACTTATGCCTTGACAGAACATGACTCATTAACTGTTTCTTCGGAGCTCCAACAGAGGAAGAAAAGTGGAGTTTCCCTTCAGATATTTCTTTAGTCTCCTCATCCCATCCTTTTCCTTCTTCATGATCAATTTCAGACCTTTTCTTGGTAGGAAAGACAGCAGTTTCTTTGGGATCCACTGGTAATGCAGTGCTGGAAGATGTCATAAAACTGAAACAGCTAACCTTTTCCCTGTTGAGGATGTTGAAAGATGCAACAAACAGTCGTTGGCATCTTGAAACAGGCCTGAACATACGATATTTCCACAGCAAAGCCTGAAAACCCTGTTGACTAGTTTGAGAAAAGAGTGCCATCACAAGAAGAAACTATCTATTAGCTCACTGTATCTAATGAAGTTGTAAAACTTAAAATGCTGACTGCATGGGGACATTTATTATAAAAGCCCAAGGGCTGTCAAGATGTATAAGCCTCAGTTTCAAAATGCTTGTTCTAGGAGTTCTTTCTGCCTCTTACAAAAACCAAAAAATAGTATAATCTTTTTTCACAAAAATCAGCCTCTTGAACTGTGACAACATTCATCCAAAATGAGGGTATCTTTCTTTCCAGAGAAGATGCTTTGCAGGTTTGCAGTTTATCATTTCTGTTTGTTGGCTACTGCAAAGACGAGTCCCGAGTGTGCTGTGTGCAGACAGGCAACTGTGACACAGCTAGGCAAAAAGCGCAGGTTTTGTTCTTCCCGCCTTTATCCAAGTCTGGTCAGAAGGCTTCCTAAAAACAAAAAGAACACCGCAACATCACGGCTTGCTCCGTGCTTTCCTGTCACACTCACATCTTCACGCTAGCAAACACAAAGTCCAAGGCACCTCGACGGCTTCAGGCCAGAAATCCCAATCCTGCTCCCTCAGGCAGCCCCAGCACGGGCTTCCCAGGCTGGCTCCCTCGCACCTCTCCCAAAGAGGCAGAGCGACACCGCTGGCGCCAGCTCCAGTGAAACCCCACGTAAACGTTAGGTTATAAACGTCAGTATCGGGAGGACGACGGGCGGCCGTCGCGGCTCCTGAGGAGTCCCCCGCGGG